CCTTTGATATCTATATGACATGACCAGGCTCAACCGAACCCACAGCAGGAGGGATTAAGCTGCTGCTGGCTCACAAGGAAACCATTTGCTGGCTTAAATCACTTGTTTTGGTCTCCCCCTTGTAGCTCTGCAGAGAAATAAAGATTCCAGAGCAGGGTCCCTGCTTGCAGAGGAGACTCTGTCCCGGGGGGGGCTTTTCAGCCAGGTCGCTGCTACTGCTCCCAGAGAGAGGAACCCCCCATCCCTCATTTGGTGTCAGCACAAGCGGCCTCACGCTTTATCGCAAGGCTCAGCTATAGGGGCCTGCAGGTTTGAAGGCAGTTTAGCTTATTTTTTTTTTTAGCTGAAGATTTAAAAACGGTTGTGCTCTAACTTGCTCTGGGCTGACCATCACGCAGGCTGCAAGAGCCAACGCGTCCCAGGGAGCAGGTGCCACGGGCTAACCTCTGTTTTGAGGTTGTTTGCACTTTATTATCTAAGGTGTTTTAGCTTAACTTTTGGTTTTGCACTGCTCTGGACAGTTGTGTGGGTCTTTTTCCACCCCAAAAGAAATCATACCCTTTGCAGAGAAGGACTAATAAACCCTAAACAATCAGAGCGTAACTAACCCCATGGACCAGGAGAACAGCTGAAGCATTAAAAAAATACCGCTTGAAGAACATAAAATCAGCTCCTAGCAAATGCAAGACTGAGGAAGAAGAAATCCCCATCATCATCATCCTGGTGAAGGACACCGAATGCAGGCAGACTGCTGCAACACAGGAGGGAAGGGGGCAGGCACCTATGTCTACCGATTTTATTGCATAATCTGTAACATAAATTGGGTGATTTGCGTTATTGTTGTGATTGGACTAAGGGTAAGTGGTTGATGCATCTTTGAAGCATTAACTGGGCCACAATCGAAGGTAATGCTTGGCTCCGTCTGTAAGGCACGTTCTTTCAGGTGCCAATGCACGAAAGTGCGCCCGTGACGAGTTCAGTGCTCACACCTCCCAAAGCTGCACTGGCGCAGGCAGAGCTCGCCTCCACCCCTGGCTCTTGTGGGAGACGCTGAGAGAGAAATTCTTGTCCACACCAAGGATCTGAGTGATAAAACGCTCTTTGCTCCACGGTGTTGCCATTTCCAAAGGAGCCTCTGCCCTCACCTAACCGCACCGCATCAACTCTCCCCCTCTTCCATGTCACCTCGATTGCAAAGGGGAAGGGCAAGCACACACACCCCTCCCCCCACCGAAAAAGGGGTTTGATCCAAAAGAGAGCTCAGGAAGGAATTACTCTTTGTTGCATGGAAGGGACAAGGCAAAATTGGCCATGGCCATGAAGTCACTCTGTTATTTTGAGGGCTTCACCGCTCAGTTCTCCACACCTCCCCAAGCCCTGGAGCTGGGCACAGGGCTGCACGTACATCCCGGGCACGCATGCGCGCACACACATGCACACACTGCTTTATTATATATTTTTTTCTTAGCAAAAAAATAAAAATTTATTGTCCTCTAAAAAAAAAAATCCATCCTGCCCTTGGAAACTCTGACACAGATTGAGTTCTTTCCAGCCCCACATGCAAATTCACTCTGCCAAGAAAAGAGTCTAAACCAGGTTTCCGACAGCCAAAACACATATTTACAGAGTACGAGAGAACGACAGCTGAAATCACAGTTCTATACATGGAATCAACAACACGTTTTACACACCACCGATCACCATTCTGCCAACTTCTACACGGACTAGGGGCGCTTCTGCCCAGTGCCCTTCCTCCTGGGGAAAGTGGGGAAGAGACTGGTCAAGAATTGCCACCAGAAATACTGCAGTGTGTATTATTATTATTATTATTTTAAACGTATACTGTATTTATTTTGTTTTAACATTGGAAGCTACGGAGTGGGAAAGCCCCAGAAATCTCTCCGATGCAGTCACTAGTTTGCAGGAAACCTTTAAAATAACTAGGTTTTACATCAGTAACATCTGTTTTGCTGTTGGCCATCACTCCAAGGATTATTATAATTCTGGAGGAAAACACTGGTAATGTTCATCCTTCTCAGATGGGGGAAAAGGAGAAAGAGAGGAGGTTTGGAGGCTGGTTGGAACAGCAATGAATTACTGAGTCCGTTCAGCGTTAGGGCTTCCTCAAAGGGTAAGGACTTCTCTTCATTGTCTCAGCTGCACAAGCCTTGCAAGCGGCTCAGGTTCAGCTTCAGAGATGTACGGAAAATGTAAAACCCTTCGGCAGGGGATCGGCTGCAGCAGCTCCCCTTGGAGGGGGCGTCTGCTTAAGGAAAACGTTGTGCTCCAGCTCCAAGACTTTCCCCGGTCCCTCCTGCGCCACAGCTGGCACGCGGCTATGTTATCTAAGGCCAGAGATGATCTAAAAGTGGTCCTGTTAGCCCAAAGCGATGCCAAAACTCTTCCACTCCTGGCTATTGTCTACAGCTCTAAGCTTGCTTTTTGAGATCTATCTACCCAGGAAAGTGTTGCTCCTATACTGTTTTTCCATAATAATGTAAAAGTTTATTGACCTTTAAGATACTGTGGTTTCACACCACAATTAAGACTCCCTTCCCCCAGCTCTTAGCTCAGAAGTGTCCGACCTACACAATCAGTCACTGAGGTCAACACTTCCAAAGCTCCCAAAAATTCAGGGAGGAAGATGTCATTATCCACTAAGGACTCTGTGTGAAGAGGCAGGACCCAGACATGGTCACGGCTATTCAGCAACAGCCAGCTGGGCTGCTCATCAAGAAGCTTTGTTTTGAAGCACGACTCTGCCAAAAAAAGCCCCCTTAGTTCTGATGTGTTACTGTATGTCCTGTGAAAGGGAGTTCCTGCTTCAGAAGGAAGCGTGACAGTACGTTAGAGGGGCTGTACATATTAGCACCAGGTTTATTTCAACAAGACTCTTTTTACACCATACAGAAGCTGACCACAGACTGTTAACCCTTAAACGCAGCGCTGCGATTACAGTTTGTCCTTCCTGCCTGGGGCAGGCAGTAACAACTGCTGGAGTGGGTCAGAAATGCTGCCCCTTCCCCCTGCTTGCACCTCACTGGGTTATGAAATTGTCACAGAAATAGCCCCCCAAAATACTCATAAAATACGCAAAGATGAAGTTCTCTTTTCCATCTGATGCTTCAGAAAATAATTCACATTTCAGATATTTCTGGGGTTTTTTTAAAGCAGCAAACAAATTCATAGAAACCTAAATTTAGGAAGTGTTTCTTAAAGAACCAGAGGAAAGTGAGAAACAGCCTATGTGCTTGTGCAAAGAGAGTGCTGAGTTACGTCAGGGTAGGGGCAAGGGAAGGGGCTAGTGCTAATTCCTTCAGGCTGTTCTGCCATGAGTGCAGTGTGGCAATGGAAAGTTAAAATTTAAGGGCCACAGACAAGTGAAATTTTGAATTCTTTGGTCCTTCAGTATAAGTTTTAAAACAGAGAAACTGTTTTACTCAAAAGGGAGAAACATGCTTTCTCCGGCCTGGAATTTTCCTTGTACCCCCCTGCCTAAGCAATGTGCCCCATGGAAACTGGGGGCTGGTATCTCTTCCCCCTAGACCCAGTAGCCCTGCATCACAGCGTGACTGGAAATCCCACTGAGACAGGC